AGCCTCAAACCTGTTCCTGAGATGGTTCTGAAATTCAGGTGGGATAGACTCAAAGTCATATTTTGGTTGCCTTGGATTTGGTTTAATTTTCCTCAACTTCAGCTTGAATTTGCATCCGATATTATAGACTTAATTTTATTCGGTGTCATGGTAGTGTCACCTCTGTCATTCTTTTATTGAGTTATTTGTGTCTTTTGTTTTTTTCCTTTTGTTAAGTTTGTTTCCTTTTGTTAAGTGGTTTGTCAATTTTATTGACCCTTTCAAAAAACCAGCTCCTGGTCATGTATAAGGGTTCAAGGAGGTAAAAAGTGGGAGCAGAGAGGGGTGTGAGGATGGGTGGGAGTAAATCATGGTGTCTCAGAATTTGGTGGGTGGAGGATGGTGTTAAAGGAAATAGGAAAGATTTGGTGCGGACCTGAAAAGACAAGATGGCATACGTCAGTGGTGATTAATTTTATAAGCACAGTGTATGGGACATGATTGTATGAAACGAAATGTGAATGAAGGAAAGTGTAAAATACAGTGTATATTAATTTTATATGCAAATCAATATAGAATAATTTTTTTAAAAAAGAAGTAAAATGGAAATAGAAATTGAAGGCTATTAAATAAACACAAAAATATCATCTCAGTTTTGTAGTTCATTTGTTTTGAAAAGCTAAAGCTCTGGTATCTTTTACTGATTCTTTCCTAAACCTTGTTTATATTGTGGGTTGATGAGGTTTTAAATCATTAAGAAAGATGCCAGCAGTTCGTTGATCTTGTCAGAGGATTAATGTGCACTTTCTGGTGTTATATGAAACATATTAAGTTTTTTAAATGTTTTTGTTTTGTTCTTTTTTTTTTAGGTTTTATTTAGAGGTTAGATACAATATTGATTAAAATACTTTAGGCTGCAAGTAATAACATCACCTCACTTAAATTACAGGAAAATTACTACCTTGTATAGAAGAGTTCCTAATGTCAATACTACAATATGGTTGTTGTTGTTGTTAAGACAATATGGTTGTTGTTGTTAAGACAATATGGTTGTTGTTGTTAAGTGCTGTCGAGTCATAGACTACTTACAGTATCCCTATGAATGAAACATCTGAACACTTGTAGAACTTTCTTTGTTTCCCCAAGTTTATAGGTTTCCGGAGGCAAGCTATTACAGAAATGGATGCCATTCCTGCTTCTAAGCTTGTTTTAATCGGGGAGTTCCAGCAAACACTGTCCACCATGGGGAACCATTATCACATTTTGCACATCATTGTCACAGTGTTCAGCTTCACAGCAACCACGAGTTACCTCTGTACAGCAAGTGGACAGACCAGGGCTATAGCACTTAGAGGAGTGTTTGAGCAAACACAATTAAAAGCAGGCCTGTGTTATGTTTTCCATCCCTGCCTTGCCAGCCTCAGTTAGTGGTATTTGTATTTAGTGTTGATCCAGTGAATGTGACAATGCCAAGACAAGATGTGGTTTCCCCCACAACGCTTTTTTCTTTTCCTTTCTTTTTTTTTTTTATTAATGGAAAACCCTTTCTGCCAGTGACCAGGCTCCGCCACCAGGTCTTGGGTGGGTCTCATGCCCACTGGCCTGGGGTTGGAGGCTCTGGAAGTTGTCTCCAGCAAGTTGGTGTTTGTCTCGGGCTGGTGCTGAAGAGGATCACCGACCCTGAGCATGTGGCTGAGAGCAGGCACGGTCGGAAGTTCACTGTCAGGCTCAAATCAGGACGATGTCAGTGAGGAAAAAGGGAGGAGGGAAGAGGTGGCTGACGGGGCCAACCCATGACCCCCAAGGGGCCCGTTCCTTTTCTAGCTCAGACTGCCCATCTAGACCACAGAGCGTGCTGGAGAACGGGCTTAGTGGATTTTACATTTCAGTCTTTCAGTCTTTGCTCCTAACTTTCAACCTCAGACCACACATCTATTTTCTAATAGCTAACCAGTCATTCAGAAGCTGTGGTGTGGACAAGATAGCAGTTGTTGAAGTTGAGCAATTTAATTTAAATAATTGCCACACATTTATTACTATTGGGTAGGTACTAAGGCTCAACGTCAAGAAGACAAAGATTCTCGCCACTGGACCAATTGGCAGTGTCAGGATGGATGATGAAGAGATTGAGAGTGTTTACAGCTTCAGTTTGCTCGGCTCCACAGTTAACACTCTTGGTACCAGCAGTCAGGAAATCAAAAAGCGTATCGCGATGGGAAAGTCTGCCATTAGGGACCTCTCAAACGTACTCAGAAGCAACAGTGTCTCTCTGGAGACTAAGGTGCGCCTGATACAGGTCATGGTATTTGCAATCGCTTGTTATGCATCAGAGAGTTGGACAATGACTAGGGAGGACAGAAGGAGAGTGGACGCTTTTGAGCTGTGGTGCTGGAGAAGGGTACTGAATGTACCCTGGACTGCCAGGAAAACAAACAGATCCATCTTGGAGAGGATTAAACCAAGCTGCTCCTTGGAGGCAAGGATTCTGGGGCTTCGTCTGACATACTTTGGACATGTTGCCAGGAGGGACGGGTCCTTGGAGAGGGACATCATGCTTGGGAGGGTGGAGGGACAGCGCAGGAGGGGAAGACCCTCTATGAGATGGATTGATTCAGTGACTGGGGTAATCGGGATGGGTGTGTCAGAGGCGGTGCGGTTGGCGCAGGATAGAGCAGGGTTTAGGGCTGTTGTGCATAGGGTCGCTATGAGTCGGAAACGACTCGATGGCACATAACAACAGGTAATAATATAAGCACATCAGCTGCCCAGAGTCTGGCCATTTTCACAGATGGGCCTGTTTCTAGTTGGTTCTCTTCTGCTGAATAGACCCTGCCTCAGTGAGGGTCAGAGTCCTGGGCCATGAAATACGGAAGCATGAGTGAATAATCTGTGATGTAAATTATATTAATCTGTGACGTGTTGCTTCCTGAGTAGCAAAAATACCTTAGGCTATGAAGGATGAAGATTTTAGCAGGCTGCATTTCGTTTTTATGAAATCTGTGAAGGGCTTCACTGTCCTGCTCTAATTGCCCCCATGAAGGTTAATTACGTGTGTTTAAGTTCTTTTTTATTGTGCGGTGCCGAGGCCTCTGTTCTTCGTGTGCTCAGCATTTGTTTTTGTCCCTTGCCGTCTGGGATCAGTGGCTGGCGGCGGGCTCTTTGGAGGGCAGTGGCTTCTGTTCTGCACTTGACTGGCAGGCGGCACTTCTGAAGTACTGCACATTTTGTCTTCCTTCTGGCTGCTCGTGTCCTCTTAGTTCTTGGCAGGGTGCACGAGGAGGATCAAGTGACCCGAGTGTCTCTCTCAGACACACATTCATCATCTTCGTATTCATCTTCTGTGCCAGGGAGCGGAGAAGCAGGCGTAATTAAGGGACTGATGGCGCTCCATCCCCATGGCAGAAGGCCGTCACATTGTCACTAGTGATCTTACCTTGTGTTACTGTTTACCTCTCAGGGGCACTAATTCTAGAAGGATCTCTCTTTCGGTAAGGCTGTGAGCCTGCCTTTGAGGAAATCTCAGGGCTGTTTTTTGTACAGAGAAGGACTGAGTTTCTGTTTGTTGTTGTTGGGAGCCATTGAATCAGACCCACCGCCGTGTACCCTGGAAGGAACCACCGCCTCACCCGACAGCACTTTCACAGCTGTCCCTGTATCTGAGTGCTTTGTTTCAGCCCCTCTATTCCTCCGTGTCATTGAGCATCTTCTCTTTTTTCACTGATCCTCAACTTTACCAAACATGATCGCTCTTTCCAGAGATGGGTCACTCCTGAAAAGGTCCAGAGTGTGTGAGGCCTTCATGCTGCTGCCTGGCGTTGCCGTTTCCCACTTCTTTCCCTGTTCCTGCTTGTGCGGGGGTGTCTCTACCTCTTCTTTTTGGGGGTCTTTCTCTCAGCTTTGAGGGACCCATACTTTGCGGTGATTCTGCGGCCCCATGTCTGCCTTGGAAGCAGTTTCTGTGCAGCCATGAGCAAGCCTGCCCTGGAGTGCTATCGTAAAGAGTGTTTTCCCTTTGGGGCCGCAGGTCATACAAGTACCAGATATTTGGAAACTGCGTCAGTTTTGGACACACGTGGCGAAGAGACCACAGCTGCCTTGCCACTGTGGTGGGTGAATCAGCACCTTGGCTCACACGCCCTGGGGGATTTCCTCTTACTGGGGAGTCAGGAAGACGGGAGTTACAGCCGGAGTGGCCAGGATTTCCGTGGAGGCCGCTGGCTCCTGCTGACTGTCGAGATAGGTGGTAGCAAACTTCAGTTTGCAGGAGGCTCTTGTCACTGTTTGTGTGAAAGAGAGCAAAGGCGGGGCCAAGCAGAGTGGTACCTCTTGAAACAGAGGAGAAGCCAGAGCCCCTGGTCGTGTCGGGGCGGGGTGCTGGCCAGGACCCTGTGTCATCAGTCCCATGTGCTCTCTGGGACGCTGAGTCATCGGTCCCATTGTGTTGGCCTGGACGCTGGGTCCTCAGTCCCACGTGCTGTCCAGGACCTGGGTCATCAGTCCTGCATGCTGGCCAGGACCCAGGGTCCTCAGTCCCACTTGTGCAGATGTAGATGTCTCTGCCTACCACCATGCGGCCAGCTTGTTAGGCCACGTGGCCACACAGTCCAGGGAGGGGAAACATCTGGGTTGCTTAGCTTGACACCGTCGAGCTCATCTTACGTGTGTTGCTTCCCCCTCTGTGCCTCACTGCAGGTTCGAATTCTCCTCCCACGCCATCAGCATGAGCGCCTACCTGCGGGAGCAGCGGCGGGAGCTGTACAGCCGGAGTGGAGAGCTGCAAGGTGAGTGTCCGGAGCTGAGGGGGCTGGAGCTTTCGGAGCACCTGAGGTGTTGGTCTACGCTCGCAGGGTCCCTGCAAGATGACGGAAACATAGAGACTTGAAATTCTGACTCTTCTATCATTTCCCAGCATCTGCTACCAACGGCTAAAACTATTCCCCTGGTGCAGAATTTACACACCTGCCACCGTTCAGGTGGGAGCTCGAAGGAAAAAAACACCACCCCAAACAGAAAACACCGGGTCAGGCTCTTCTCGTTTAAGGATCTCATCCTTATGCCCAGTCACAGTCTGTAGCTGCCACCTGGACTATTAATTATTAGTTTCGATGCCCTTTGGAGTATGATAGACTTACCTGTGATTTGGATGAGCACAAATGGAGCTTTTGAAATTGTCAAAAAGCAAAAGGGTGCCTCTAACTAGTGGGGACTAATCAGCATTAATACCCAGAATATTTGATACGCAGGTGTGGTTACTAAAGAGTTTTAATCTACAGATGAAAATACTTCAAAAATAAATTATGTGGTTATATAAAAATAAATGAGATCAATAACATTTCCTTCTCTGACAGAAAAGATACTAATCATGATAAATGTAACCAATTAAGATGTTATGCTAGGGAATGGAGGAGGGGAAGTGAGGAATGAGATATGGCCTTTAGATCTATTTAAAAAATTCAAACATTGTAAGGACTCACAGGTACCCTTCACTGTTCTTGTGAGGCTCTAACTTTATGGAAGAAACTGCCTATCTTTCTCATTGGAAGAGCTGGGTTCAAACTGCCGATCTTTTGGTTGCTATTCAGAGGTGTTACACCCTGTGTCCCCTCAGCTCCCTGTCATCAGGCAGTCAGTGCTGTCAGCTGGGTCAGTGGTATGGGTGTGGAGGGCCAGAGGAGAACACTTGACTTTTTCTTCTCCGGCACAGTCTCGATGTGTTGCCCTCCAGTTGGGACCCCCTCCTAACTGACCCTCCAGCAACTTTGCAGAGGCTGTAAATTCCTGGGAGGAGATTGCCCATCTTTCTCCCAGGGAGCAGCTGGTGGGTGTCATCCACCTGCCTTTGAGTTGGCAGCATAACTTCTTACCCGTTAGGCCACCATAACAGATGGGCGAGGTACTAGACTTGCTGATGTTGGAGGAGTTCCTGAAACTATGGCTCTGAGTTGCTCTTCAGACCTTGAATTAAAAGTCTCCTGAAATAATCTTTAAAGTCCAAAGAGTATGTTTTTGCTCGGCTCCACGGTCAACACTCTTGGCACCAGCAGCCAGGAAATAAAAAAAACCGTATCGGAATGGGAAAGTCTGCTGTTAGGGACCTCTCCAAAATACTGAAGAGCAACGGTGTGTCTCTGGAGACTAAGGTGGGCCTGATACAGGCCATGGTCTTTGCACTCACTTGTTACCATCAGAGAGTTGGACAATGAATGACTAGGGAGGATAGAAGGAGAATTGACGCCTTTGAGCTGTGGTGCTGGAGAAGAGTATTGAATGTACCATGGACTGCCAAGAAAACAAACAGATTCATCCGGGAGAGGGTTAAACCAGACTACTCTTTGGAGGCAAGGATTCTGCGGCTTCATCTGACATACTTTGGACATGTTATAAGGAGGGACCGGTCCTTGGAGAGGGACATCATGCTTGGGAGGGTGGAGGGACAGCGCAGGAGGGGAAGACCCTCTATGAGGTGAATTGATTCAGTGACCGGGGTACTCAGGATGGGTGTGTCAGAGGCAATGAGATTGGCACAGGATAGAGCAGGGTTTAGGGCTGTTGTACATAGGGTCGCTATGAGTCGCAAACGACTCGACGGCACATAACAACAACATGTGTACTTCATTTCTTTAAAAATAACAAAGCAAAATAAATCTCTTTCTCTGTGTGTATATGAGAGGAAGAGAGAGAGAGAGGGAGAGACCCTCAGTCTGATTTCTGAGGCTGTAAATGTCATGGAGCAACTGGTGGATCTGAAACTCTGAACTTTTGGTTAGTACTGCAACATGCTATACCACCAGAGCCCATGGATGGAAATACATGTATGTCTGTGTCTATTGTCTGTATATCCAAAGGGTCAAACAGCTATTTCACAGCATGGGTGACAAGGCTGGGGGCAAGGAGATTAACTAAATGAAACAACTAGGAGTAGTGAGAATATTTAAAGACTGTAACCAGTGTCATTATGTCTAGAAAGTCTACAATTAGAGGGTCTGTCTTGTATACATTTTCACTGAAATGAAATTGAGGGCTTAAAGAGAGAGAAAGAGAGAGAAGCAAGACCCCAAAAGGAGATGCTTGGACCACTGACAGCTACCAGCAGCTCCGTGGTTCTCTATTAGATGTCATGCTTAGAAGTCGAGACAGAGATTTGTTTTTGCTCTCTGGTGCAGTAGCCAGTGTTCTACTGCTGACTCAAAGTGTTCTGCTGCTCACTGAAAAAGGTGAGTGGTTCAAACTTACCGGAGAGAAAACAATGCCGTACATGAAGTCAGCTCCTGTAAAGATTACAGCCTTATAATCCGAATGGGGCAATTATACTTTGTCCTACAGAATTATTAAGAGAGGGGACTCAATTTGGTACATTTTTGGGGTGTCAGAACCCTTGAAAATTGGCCTTTCTAGCCATTGTGTTAGACCCCTTTGGGGATGGGAGCATGATTTCTAGCTAAAAGGTCTTGCAAATCATCAATAGCTGTGGGATGAATAGGAGAGACTACTTTCCACACTGTGCGAGGTGGGGTGGAAAGACTGTGAAGACCTTGGGAGATTTGGGGGTGGAGAGATTGTGAATAGACTGTGGCAAGGTGTAAAGAGATGAATCCAGAAGATAAAGGTCACAGTTAAAGATTTTGCTTGCTGGATGGTTGAAGGAAAAGCTGACTTAAAACTGCACTGAGAAATGTGCTGAATGAGTGAGGAAACTAGAGACTTCTTGCATTTGTGCTGTTGAACTGAACCTGGATTTTCACTAATTAAGGAACAGGACTTGATTCATCTGGCTTGACTGCTGGAGTGACACTAGATTTGCATTGTGAGACATTCTTTGCCTTTCTCTTTCAGCTCCAGCCTATTTCCCTAATAAATCTCACAACTGTGAGTAAAGTCGGTGAGTTTTGCGTCAAATATCGGACCCAGTGATTGGTAAAAAGAAGTACAGGGGCATGTGGAGCGGCGTGTCTGACCTTGGACTCTGAATATTGTTGACAGGGGCAGTTCTGTTTATGAATCTGGTAAATGTCAGCCTTGGCCACCCTCACGTTACGGCTGCTCCTTTTGCAGTTTGGCTTTGTGTTTTAGTGGTTATATGTGAGCATTATCAAGTAGAAATGTTGCCCTTGGTTATTCTAGCATAGGACATCATGGTGTAATCAAATGCATTTTAAAATCTAAGTTAGAGAGGAATTTTATTTTTTGAGGGTAAGTTAATTTCTAAGTTCCAAATTCATTGAAGAGTCACTGTAGCCCAAGTATAAATATTTCATCTTTCACAGACGTAAATGAAGTGTGGAACTTCCAAGCAGTATTCTGTTATACTCACCAATGTTCAAGAAACCCGGAGGATTATTTCGAGTTCACATGGACAGAAATCGTGAACATATCAAATTCATAATAATCATTAAATAATAAGGTAACTGACATGTGCAGCAAGAAACTGCAACAACTGACCAGTTTTTATAGAAGTTTGATAGTGTTTCATTCAGGGACGAAAGTTTTTCTGCAGAATGTGTTAACATTTCAGCAGAAAAGAAAGGAGAGGAATCACACCTATTTTCCACTATAAACGGCTGTTCTTTTTCAGTTATTCTATTAATCTGACTGGTCCAAGAAGCACAGTGAGATCTGCATTCCAGCTTTATGCTTGCAAAGGTCTAATTGAAGAGTTCAGTCAAATGATAAGAGACTAGCGGAAGAGTTTTGTCTTTTCTTTTAATGCCATGTAGCTGCAGGCTTCGCTTTCCAGTGGTTTGGTTCACAAGGTCAAGGTTTCTTTTTGTTGAAGATGAAATCCACCCAAAAGACCTTCAAAGTCATACTAAAAAGCTCACATTTTATAAAAGTTAAGGTCCTGCCAACCTTTCCCATTTGTCGTGCAATTAAAAACGTTGCCTACCCCAAGAACCCAAGGGAGAACAAAATTTTTACATGAGACTCCTTTGGTCCCATCCATCCATCTCGGCTGGTTCTCACTGTTAGGATACAGATGGTTCATTAGGAGTCTGCTGCTGGCAAACGGCAGAGGAGGTGGGGGGCGTTTCAAAGTGTGTGAGATAACAGGTGGGGATCTAACTTGTGTATGCGTCTACGTTAATCACAGACTTCCTGTTGTTCTGGCTCCCTCTCCTGCTTCGCTGGACTGCTTAGACAGCAGAGTTGTAGGACAGGAAAGGTTCTCGTTATAATGAACAATTAGCTTGAATGTGGCATCGCAGGTGTGATGTGCAGTCCTTCAGGAGGGTAAGAAAATGGATGAAGCCATTATCTCATGCGGGCTAAAAAAAGTTTAAAACGCCACCACTCAGGAACACAGAAAGCTGTTTGATGGCTAAATCCCATAATGCCTTAGGTTTCTCTTATGAAAAACATATCTGCTGTCAGGGATATTGTGTGTGTAAAATTAAAGGTTAAGACTCTAGAAAAATCTAAGTAGCTATGTTGTGGTCACTTACTGAGAGTTGGCCCGAACTTATAGTGACCCTCCTTTCAACAGAATGAACCCTGGCCTATCCTGTGCCATCCTCACAGAGTCTGAAGTCTAATGGTGTAGCCGCTGTGGCAGGACACCTCACTTGAAGTCTTCCTGTCTTTTGTTGACCGTCTGCTTTTCCAGGCAGGATGTCCTTCCCCGGGATTTAGCTCTCTGGAGAAGGCGCACAGAGTATGTGAAACGAAGGCTCGCCGTCTTTGCTTTTATGGAACACTGTGTGTGACTATACTACTACTGTGTTTTCCGATGGTTTGTCCTCTGGCAGGACGTCCATGGCATGTTTTATATTCTCTGCTGTCACCA